GACCTGTCAGCTGTCTCTGATGCCTTTGGCAGTGTCACGAAAGTGCCTTTCTAATTAGTTTTTTGTTATGTCATTTGAATATTTCCTTCTCCCTGAAATTGCTTTTGTGGATTCTGTATGTTTGATCCCTTTGTTTATGCTACGCTTTATATCAGGATATGTATCTACACCCAAACACAGAAATTCAGCAGATGGTTTTTTGCAGGTGACTCACAAGTCTGTATCTGCACATCACACCTGTCACTTCCTGCCCCACATGAAAGAGCACACTTATTTTCCTGATGGATTGAAAATACATCCCTGCATCTTTTGTCCCCATTTTCTTTTCCCCTGACTTGTGTCAATAATTCAGGCACTGTCTTTGGGTTGGAATTTTCCCTGCTCCTGCATTTTAACTTGCTGATTATTTCTATGTAGCTGCTCTGTACTGCAGAGTTTCTTGGTTGTGCAGGCAGCTCAGATGCTCGTTTGGGCTCCCAATGTCCAGTACTCTGGTTTGTCTTAGTTCTACCCATCAAGGAAGTTGCTACCTACATCCCTTACCCTCATGCTGTGACCAGATGTCTTTATGCTCGCTGACAATTGCAACTGGCAGCGTTGCTGGAGGTTGCTGTTTGATACAGAGTGTTTTAAGAGAAAAAACGGAGTTGCAACAGAGTAGTGGTGAATGGCAAGGGCAAACATGCTTGTTCAGGAATTGGGGTTTATTAGTTTCTCAAAGAATCTGCTCATTTAGGGAATATTGGTGCTGGTGTTATCCCTATTATTATTTTTTGTTCAACAGTGTGAGAGCTGAATTTTAACTAGGCAGTTAACAGAGGCTTTCAGAAGGCCTCCTACGTAGGCATACACAAAAATACAGATATTGTGTATGAGTGTCTGCATGTAGATACTACATATGTTGCTCTTGCATAATGTGTATCATTCCTTTGATACTGAAGTGTTGACATTCCATACCTGTCCATATTAACCCACAGTCTGTGGGCCCACAGGCAAGGGTGTTATAAAATCACTTGAGTGTCAAGTGGGATTTAAACTGTTGGTTTATGTAAGAGGTACAGTAATTGTGGAATGAACAACTACTGATATCCGTACTATTGGCTTATCTCTTAGTTGTCACCAGTGATGCATAAAGCTGTAGCACTTCTTAAAACATTTGAAAGATGCTAATTGTCCATAGTGTTCAGTATTCCTGTATATCAGAATTTTTTTCACTGTAAAAACTGTGCATAAACTAGATGTGCTAGAGATGTTAATGGGTATAGTGTGTCTGACTTTTAAAATCAGACTACGACTTCATTTCTGTAAGTGTATCTAAATAGGTGTAATTATGTTAAACTGAATCTCTTGGCTTGTTCTACAACATTGCATGGGTTCCTGCAACATCTTGCTCTTGCACTGCTTTCGCTTACAGCACAGAAAATCAATCTCTGTCACGCTGTGGATTGCAAGGGCTCCATACTGCTAGAAATTTTGGATGTTGTTTGCCAGAGATCAGCAGAAATCTCTTTAGGCTGAGAGAGCTGTAGCTTAAATACTGTGCTTTTCCTGAGTGGTTAGCTTTCTCAGACTGAGCTGTTAAAATAATCTCGTGTTTGTTAAAGAAGTGCTGGGTACTGACCGGTACTATAAGAGATGGTTTTAAAGAAAATAATTCAAAGATAATATTTTGCATGAGTCATTAATTATGAGTCATGATCAGCAGGCAGTGATGTCCAATTTGTTTTCTAATCCTGCACTTGCTGATGCTCTTTATTGCCATAGTGATAATATTAAAGAGCTGTTAATGCATATAACCACGCTGTTGAAAATGACAGACTTTTTTTTTTGTGGAATAAAATTTCCATATCTTCAGTCTGTTTTGCTCTGTACATTTTTTGATATGCAAAATCTAGGTAGTATAAAAGTGATCAAACAAGTATGGTTTGGCAGGGAGTTCGGTTAACAGAACAGACTTCTTTTTTTTTTTTTCTTTTTTTTCCCTTGCTTTCCAGCCAATCATCATGGCTTTCTAGAGAATTAAATCTAGTCTAGGTTCTTAGTAGGACTGGGGAGGCTTTGTGTTTGTTAAAAATTGGGGGCTAATTGTTTGAGCTACACTTTGTGACAAGAGCCTGCACTATCTAAATTCTTATTGTTTCTTCTCTCCTGAGCAAAAACTAGTAGCTGGATGGGAAGTTTTATTGCACGAATGTATGTTGGGGAGTGACTACTGAAGTTCTGGAGAAAATGGAAATCTGTTTCTCTTCTGAGAGTCTGAATATAAAGAGAAAAATTTAGCTGAGAAATGAGCTTTGGAAACTTGCTTTTACTTTTAAATGAAATTTTACCAAGAGAAGCCATTTTAAAGCTCTGGAAGGTGACAGCTGAAATGTTGCAGATAATATTAGAATGTGCCTAGATGGAGAGTGTTGGGGTGCAGCAGCAGTTGGGTGATATTTATGAAGTAATGAATCTGGTATTCAGTCAGATTTTTAAATGGATTAAATTTTAATTAGTTTTATTAGTTTACACTTGAGTGTAGAAAAGTTGATTGTGACAGTGTCCTGGTTTTGCTAGGATAGAGTTAATTTTCTTTTTAGTAATTAGAATAGCAGTATTTTACTTTCAGTGTGTCAGTTCAGACTTAGTACGAGAAGAACGTTGATAACAGTACTGGTGTTTTTAGTTGCTGCTGGAGCTCAAGGCCACGGTGTTTGTCTACTTCACAGCTGCACTAGGACTGGGAGGGGGAAGCGCAGTGAGGAGCAAAACCCAAAACTGGCATCTGGTTGTGCCAATGAAATATTCCATATCATATCACGTCATGTCAGTACATTAACCAGGGCTGACTGGAAGACGGGACATTCTCTCGCGGATCGCTCGGGCTCACTCTTCCGGGGTTTGGATTCAGGGCCGTCTTGGCTGCGGGATCGTTAGCTGGCACAGGCTGGGAATTGGTCAGTGGGCGGTGA